AACACTCTACACAAACCTATTTTCATCTTTACGGTGTTTGTCAATATCATTTTTCATTTTGTTGATATTATCATTAAATTAGCTATTGACATCTTGTTTTAAAATTAGGTTACAAATTGGTCAGTTTCGACCTAATTGTATAGCATCAAATCGACCCTGGATCTTATGGCTATCATTACTGAATTTCATAGCGATTATTACGGTATCTACGTTGGGCTACTAGAATAATGGCCTCTTCTCTTTTTTTATGATTTCAGGATCCCGGAATTGCTGGCTTCCCCAGGACATGTCTCCATTCGTTGCTCGATCTTATTTCCGCCACCCCTTCCCTACCGACTCCCAATCCTGCCTCTACAACGCTACCAGCTGAGCTTATTCAGCTCCACCGGGACGCTGCATTGGCCTGGCAATTGCTTCATCGGCTAGCCGCAAATACCCGAACTTCTATGCCTCTCTTACGCTTTTTGCGTGGCAATCACGACTTTTTGGCACACCACATGCACGAGCTAGTTACACAGGCTGACAGCCAGGCAGCGCTGGTAGAAGCTCGTAACCAATCTAGCTGGCCAACTGGAGTTGCCAATATGATTGATTCGACTCAGCTAAACCATGGGCATCAACCATATACCAACCAGGGTGGGTTGAAATAATATATATCAAATAATGCCCCTCAAATCCGGTCATGTTTATGACTCAATTTCATGACCCGATCTTGCAGGCTCAGTCTATCGTTTGTTTTGAATTGTTGTTTCTTTGTTCTCGCTCGTTTATTATCGTTTTTCCAGTTAAAGACAAGCAATGTGTCTCTGATAAAGAACGATACCTGTCTTGCTTGTTTATAACATTGATAGGACATTGGGTGATTGATTTTTTGGTTAGTATAAGTTCATCTGTAATATAGCCTCGTTAGACAAAAGCTTGTGGATCATGTTTTTTTATATTGTTGAACTCTAATTACGACAATGATAATCAATGCCAGAATATCACACTGGCCAGCGTTTTTGCTATCGTATTTGAACAATATTTATATTTATTTTTGCTCATAATGTTATTATTCTGTGTCTGCTCTAGTATCCTATATGTCTTACTATCACTAGTTTTTTCCATTTGGCTTAATCTTCCTATCATGCGTTGCAAGACTTTCTTATTACGCCTTAATAACCTTTTAGCACTGCAAATGTATCTTTTGTTGTGAAAAAATATCCTTTTCACTAGCCCCAATTTGGTTTAATGTGATCATTTCTGAAACAAAAAATACTACAGACATCTTCTTTTATTGACGACTAACACCTAAGTAATTGCTTTCTATCCTTATTTTCCCGCTTACAAGATGATTGTTTTTTATTTTAATTCATTGGTGCGCATGCCATCCGCTACAGATTTTAAAACCAATATTTGTATATCCCCCAGATGACTGAACTCATTAGGCTTACTCGGCTTCATTAGTATTTGTTATTTACTTGCTTCATATTAATGAACTATTTTGCTCACTCTTATTTTCATTAACCATTTTTATAGGGATACTTGAAGCTATGGTCTGGAATAAGAC